CCCTGAGCACCATGGGGTGACAAAAAGGCAACACACCTTTCCAGGAGACCCAGTGCAGACATACTTAGGAGGCAAAATTTTGGGCAAAACCAATCAATGAACGCAATAGGTTTGTGAATGGAATCAGAGGTGTGTTGAATAGGGTTTCAGTTGGAAAATACTATGCAGGAAAAGTTTAAGTTTTCAAGCATTAACCTTGAAAATGACTATGGAAAGCTGGGTGCCAGTGGCTCATGCCTGTTATTCTAGGTACTTAGGAGGCTTAGATCAAGAGAATTGTGGTTCGTGAGACCTCATCTCATCATGGTGTGGTGGTACATGCCTGTCATCCCAGCTACAGTGAGAAGTATAAAATAGGAGGATCGCGGTCCAGGTCAGCCTGGGCAAAAAGTGAGACCCTATCTCCAAAATAACCAGTGCAAAAAGGACTGGAGGTGTGGTTCAAATGGTAGAACATCTGCCTTGCAAGCACAAAGTCCTGAGTTCAAACCCCAGTACCATAAAAAAAGGGGGGGGAGGTGGAAATGGAAGTGTTTCTAAATTTAGTTTACCATTTTCTCTCCTCATCTTGATTCACCTGTTTACTCATTCAGCGAAATTATTTGAGCCCCTTCTATGTGCTGTGTTCTAGAGACTCAGAAATAAATATGAGAGTATCTGCCCTTAGAACTTGTAGGGAAGCAGACACGTCAACACACGGTCACATTGCATATAAGAAGGGCCACTGTGGTCTTGCATCCTAAGTCTCTCGGCTCAAGAAATTCTGGGTTTACATTAAGGGGAGTTCCTGGCCCTTGGTGGGATGAGGTTTATTGTAACTTCTCTGTTTGGAAAAACTGGGTTTATGGGTGGGGTGCAGCTCAATGCTAGAACACTCACCTAGCAGAAAAGAAAAAGATGAAGCTGGGTTGAAAGGGCTTTGTAGCCAGACAGATGGCTTTAATTCCTGCCCTGCTGTTGACTCTGGAACACTGGGGAGTTTGTAACACCTGAATATCATTTACTTCATATACAGGTCCTCAACACTTTTCAGCATGAATCCATCCTTTAATACATAGCCTGTGGTACCAAAAATCCATTGTTTTTCTCTAAAATGAGGTATCTAGTCATTCATAGAGTCTGCCCACCTGTGAACCCAGAACCTGGTCCATCTATGACCTTGCAGGCTTAGCCCAGTGCCAACTTGCCTGCAGTCCATTGTGTTTGAAGTCAGTGCCTAACATGACCTGCCCATCCCAAAGGCCTCCTGCCTATAGAAACCCCTGGACTCCCTCCATGAACTCCTATGGCTTCCTGAGATCTGGCACACATGGAGTAGTGATCCTTTGCAAACCTTAGCCCCACTACACATGCTATGACACCTCAGTCTTTGTGCCTGCCAGTGCCCAGACTCCTCTGCATAACCATACCACTGGATGTGACCATCTGGTCCCTACCTGACTTGGATGGGTCACCTATTGATCACACAGCAATTCCAGACCAGCTTTGGCCTGGTTAAATCAGAGAACTACTCTGCTATCTGGTGGTCTAATCAAACCTTCTCCAACTGGGAATGAGCCCCTTCCAAGCCTGCCCTCCCCTATTCCCTTTCCTTACACTAGGGTACCTAGCTTCCTACTGTCTTATAGGGGTCTTCCATCACAGTTCCCAGTTTTTTGTATTAAGCTTCTCTAAATAGCCTACTTTGTGGTTTCTGTCTCCTGATAAGAGCTCGGTTATTTGGCTCATCGGTAAAAAAGGCACTGCTCATCTGGGCTCTTCCATTTCCTCTTTGCCTTAGCTGCAATTTTCTTTTCACAGAGAACAGGGAAACTAATGTAACTGAGAGTTTTCTGGGTACCAGGCAGTATGCCAGGCACTTAACAGGATGATGATGACGTACATGTGGTTAGCCTTAGAGGAGGAGTCAGAGGGTCAGAGAAGTTAAGGAGGTTACCTAAGATCATGTGTGCCATAGTGGATTACCCTGGCCACAAAGTCAGGTTGCCAGTCATCCCAGTCAACATACCATACGCAATCATGGGCTTCCCTTGATGCCCTAAATGCTCCTTTTCACCTGAATGAGAACAATTTTTCCATATAACAGACACTCCTGAGTCTTACCACTCACTCTTAAGATGAAAGCAGCAGCATGGCAGCAGAGCCATTTGCTGGAGTTCTTTCGTGACTCAACTAGGAGATCTGCTCTCCAGAGAAAGCTCTGAGTCACTGACAAGGTGAGCGCCTGTGGTTTCCCTCCTTTAAGAGCTGGCCTGAGTGTGAGCCAAGAAGTCTGCTCTTGGACCTGATGCCTTTGGCCTTGGGCATAGGGAGCAGGCTGCTAAGTCTCTACTCTGAGAAACTCCCATTGGTTAAAATCAAATTTATGGAATTTCACAACAGCAGTGACCAATGACATGGTTGTTGCTTGAAGGTGACTTCCAAAGGTCAGCAGTCTTTGTTTGCTGATATTTCCTAGGTGCTAGAACAGCATTTGTTATATAGTAGACACTCACTACATGTTTTTCAAATGGATGAGTTTACAGTCAAGGACTGACCCACCATATGTCATTACATTGGGGCTTCCCTAGGAATTTTTCTTTTTTTTGTGTGGTACTGGGGTTTGAACTTAGAACTTTGTGCTTTCTAGACTGGGGCTCTACCACTTGAGCCATACCTCCAGCCCTTTTTTGTCTGGTTATTTTGGAAATAGGATTTCGCTTTTTGCCCAGGCTGGCCTGAACTGCTATCTTTCTATTTGACACTTCCTGCTTTAGCTGGGATGACAGGTGCATACCACCACATTCAGCTTTTTTCCATTCAGATGGAGTCTCGCTAACTTTTTTGCCTGGGGTTGGCTTCAAACTATGATCCTCCTGATCAGTCTCCCAAGTAGCTAGGATTACAGGCATGAGCCACTGGCACCTGAATTCTCTAGGGGATTTTAAAGTAGAAATTTATTTTTAAAGTAAGAAAGGGAAGGAACAAATGCACTATTTTGTAAATCATGGTATATTATGATAATATAGTCCAGTGACCAAATTTGTCCTAATCAGAGCTTACTTGTTTACAGATGTTATTCTCTTCTCTGTATCAGCCAATTACACTGTTGATAGTTATCACTAATGAGAGGGTAAAATGCATCTCAATAAGAATCATAGCAGCTTTTTAAACTGAGCCCTTTGGGAAAAATTACCGAGTGCCTGGCAGAGGATCTCCACATAGCAGCTATTCCTTAAATGTCCACTGGCACTGATGACACTGTGATGACAGTGAGACCTTAAGATAAAGGTTTGACATGGTTGATGGGGGCTCAGGAAGAATACTTAGGCCTGAGAGGAGTATGGCATTTTTGATTGCACATTCCAACCATGGCCAGGAAGTGCTCAATAATTGGGTATGTTTATGCTATAGCGCATTATGAAAAATCTGAACCAAAACACGAAATAAGAATACTCCATCAATGCGATGTAAATATTCAGGTATAGGAAGGAAACCCTTTTGAGGAACAAAGATTGCTCTTGGCTACTTTGCAAATACTATATATTTCATCAGTCATTAAACTCTTAGATGATTTAAAAGTCCCTTGTTTCTCCCTAGAAATTACCTTTCTTGTTTTCCCATTTTCATCTTAATATGATGAGGAAGAAAACAAGATTTAGAAAGAGAATAAATATCTTTCTTTTTAGGAACACCAAGATTTGAACTTGCGTACCAGTGTGCTAAGGTTAGAAGTCTCCTTTAAAATAGGACTGTTCCCAACTTAGGAGCAGATTGAAGACCAAATTCATCCAGATACAGAGGTTTCATGGCTGACCTTAGGTAAAAGCTGTCTCAGTTGGTATATGTTTCATTCATTTATTATTACAACAAATACTTATTAAATACATACTGTGCACTTATCGCTATGAAAAGCATTGAATGGGGGCTTCTTACAGTTGAGCATTTTCCTGTCTTGTGTCCTCATTACTGGAACACCTTCTAGTACATAGGAGGCATTCAAATGGTTGTAACCCTTATGGAGTTCATATTTAATTTCTTCTTCTTCAGTTAGTATTTTTATGGCAATAAAATCTGTGTTAAAGTGACTTTCAGGGTAGCTTAATTTGGACATAATTTTGTTTGTTTTGAAATAATCAATGCGCTAAAAGTTTCAAAAAACAAGAACGCGGTCAAAGAGTTTGCTGCTTCCTTGAACAACGTTCCAATCACACAACATTTGGATAGTGCTGTTAATGGCCTCAGTCTTCAGATGTTGAGATTTCTTTCTTCCTGTTGTTTTCCCTCCCTCCCTCCCTCCCACCTCCCTCTTTCCTGTCCTTCCTTCCTTTTTTTCTTTCTGACTTTTCCCATCCACTTTCCCAACAAACTAACCAGTCATGAATGCCCAATTTCTTATGGAGGTGGTTGTCTGCCACGGGGCCTCTGTATTAAAATCTGGGTGGCATTCCAGGATGTTTCTGGGGCAGAGATGATTAGCAGCTGATGGCCAATCACAGGTCCATTACTTCATTAGAGGCAGGCTCAAAAGACAGGCCTCTCTCTTTTCTTTAGTAATGTTATTAACCAAGAAGCCATCCTATTTTGGTGACAAACTTTGTTCATTGCTACTTGGCAACTACTGTATATTTAATTAGTAAAGGTCATGTGAAATTTATCTTTCTAGAAAAATGTATGCAGCTCTTGTGACTTATTTGATCAGCATAGTTACCATTTAATTTATTTCTATTATTAAATAAATTATTAAATCATTAAATAAATGTTAATTGCCAGGAAGCCGTTAGCCTACAATGGTGCATTTTGGGCAAGGGTGCCTTGGAACCCAGAATGATTTTAATTTGCAGTTGGCCCAGACATCTCTAACTACGTTTGAGAATTTGGGTCCTATTTCAGCCATTCCTGCTACTGATCTTATCCATTACAGTCATGGGGGATTCATTAACACTCTCAGGATTACAGATGTGTTCTTTTGTGACCTCTCCCAGGAAGAACTCTATTAATACCAATTTTCCTCTTCCTAGGTGCAAATTCAGGATAGCAGCTCTTCCAGCCAGATGCCAGCTTTCTCAGAGTCTGCTGGCAAGGAGTCTCCATTCACTGGGACCACAAGGGAGTCCTTCTCCAACTCAGGAGGGATTCATGAGGAAAACACATCATTGACTCAACACCTAGAGTTGGAAAACTATACTCAAGACCCACAGCAGGCAGAAAAACAAGACAGAGAAGGCAACACACCTGCCAGGTCCTGGGCAGACCTAGAACATGAGCTGAGCACTCCAGAAGCTGCCGATGAAAGCATGTCCCTGGCTGTACCCTCAGTGCATCTCCCCCAGGATGCCAGCACTGACTGCAGGGAGCCCAAGGATCTCTTTGTTACCTCCCCTGAGCCCACAGACACTGCTTTCACCCTGGAAAATGTATTCAGTGGGCCAAGGGGCAGAGAAGAAGCGTGCATGATGGAGTGTTTTGAAACCGCTGACCAAGGAACATGTTATGATACCATGGATTCTTCTGTTGGAGCATCACTTGATAAATATTTGCCTGAAGAAATTTGCTTCACGGACTTTGAGCGGACAGAAGGTCAAAGCAAAGTATGTGATTTATGTTCTCCTGATGACAAGACACTGGCAGCTCTTCCTCAGACACAAGGTTCTGAGCCTGCACAAGCCACATGCAAACACAACAAGGATAGAAACTTGGCCATGTTTCCACTTTTTCTCAGTGCTTTCACCTGGAACGTGTCGCAGGAGGACAGTGAAGGTACCACAGGGGAACATCTAACTGAGGTAGAGAACGCTCCATCTGTCTTGTCCCCCACAGCCCTGGCTGGCCAGAAGAGGCTGAGCCTCCTCGATTCAGGAGAACCTGGGGGGACACAGCCCCATTCTTCTAATAACTCTTTTGTGCACCTTAATGGAGGCATCGACAAGAGCCCCCAAATCAGTGCCTCAGTTGCCACAGACACACCAGCCAGCCATAGTTCAGTCATGAAGTTCCCACAGGACAAGTCAACGGCATTAACTGCTAATGTTAAGTGTCTTCAGGTGACGGGGGCTAGTGAGGCTCTATCAATCATTGCTGTTGCCACCAAGGCCCACCTAGCCAAATACCACACTGTTTCAGTTTCTGAAAACAACCATGCAGATGACACTGAGGAAAACCCATCCGAGGCACCAAATGAAAATCTCTTCCAATTTCCCTCCAATGTGCAGTCAGGTCATAAGTTAAATGGCTCTGCTCTGGAGTCCGTAGAAGAGCTGCTTTGCTCAAGCCCCAATGTTCTAGGAATTCCTGGCCATGGTCACTCGCTCCCAGAGGGAGAGGGTTTCTGTAGCAATTGTCCTCTTCACACTGAAGGCCAGTCTACAGATGAGAGCCAGACCAGGGACAGAGCAGACAATGGGAGCCCTGAAGAGGATTTCCAAGAAAAAGGAAGTGAAACAAAGCAGAGAATCCAGTCAGAGATCCCGCACTACCACGGTTCTTTTTCTGCACATGATTTCCAAGAAAGTTTGTCCCCCTCATCTCCTGCAAAAGAGGAAGCCAACCTGGGACTCTCCGAGCCCTCCCCAGGAAGTTCTAGGGAAGAGAGAGGGCACAGCTCAGGCCTGGAGGCCAGTGTCTCCATGGTGGCACAGGCAACTGTGGAAGAAGACAGCCAGGTACCAGCAACGTTCCGTCTCTCTCTGAAATGCTCCTGGGAGAGTCTGACGACACAGTACTAGGTAACAAGGTGAAGGCTATCACTCTAGAGGATTCTGCTTCTGAAATCTTGCCACCAAGGCAAGTGACAGATCTTGAGTACAAGGAGGCAGCTGGTCCCGTAGTCTCTGATAGGGCCTGGGCTCTCTCTGATACTCTGAAGTCAGATGCTGCCGTGCCTGACCTGGAACCGTCAGGGACAGCATCATGGGCTCACAGTCCCCAGGCTGAGATGGCCTCCGCCCTCGATAATGACAGGGACATTGGTAAAGGAGACACAGCAGCCAGCAATGCACATTGGAATAGTCCTTGGTCCCAGGGTTTGAGTCAATACAGATTCCCGGAGTCATCTGTGGACCCTGTCGAGGAAAAGGAATTATATGTCACAGATTCCCTATCAGAAGCTTCCAAAATTGGAGGGAAGGAAAAAGTTAAAGATCTGAGTCAAGACCAGGAGGGAAATCAGCTCAAAGTGGGTCACCCTGCCTTCCTTAACCAGCTTCTGACTTTCTCTAATATCCTAGAGTCCTCCGTAGACCCCATTGATGAGCCAGGCAAGATGGAGCCTCCGCAGGCTGAGAACACTGGGCCTGCTGACCCCACATCGGGGGCCATCAGAAAGCAGAACAAATCCACTGATGGAAACTTGGGCCAGAGAGTGGAAGTCCAACCTGCCATTCTGCAAATTTCAAGTCCCTATAACAGAGGGGAAACCATTCCCAACAAAGACAGAATCAACCAAGACCAAGCAGACAGTGAAAGAGAAGAGGCCAAACAAAGACAACCCAAAAAAGCAAAAGTGGAAATACAGCCTGTCATTTGGCAAGTCTCAGGTCCTAATGAAGTTAAGCAAAGAATTCCAAGGGCATGCAGCACAGGCCAAGTTCAAGATGGCAGTGACAAAAGCTTGGGGGAGGCTGAGCAAAGTAAAAAGGACAGAGCTGAATTTATTTCCCCCACTTCACCTCTTTCTAGTTGTCCTGCAATAATGACTCATACTCCTGTTGAGATTGATACTCACTGCTTGGTAGGCCAAATTCACAGTGGATCTGTGAATGACTTCATTGAGCACAAAACCCATCAGAATATATCTTGCAACTCAGAGGAAAGGGGAACTATTGAGAGCGAGTGTGGGAAACATGTGTCCTCGCTCAGCGTTCTTATGCAGTTGCCTTCTACCCCATCACCCAAAGGAAATGTCACACACTTTTCAATAAGCCATAGCACTGAGGAACTAAAAGTGAAGGAGCCTCAAATTGGGGAAACCAAACTCCCAAGCCCATCTACCTCCCCAGGAATGACTTTGGCTTTCATTTCAAGAGAGTATGAGTCAGAGAAAGCCCCTGAGTTACTACAGGACCCAGATCAAAAGGGCTCCACCCTGGGCAGTGGAAAAAAGTCCAGGGAGAAGGCCAGCCATGTGGCCAACCAGACTGGCAAATTACCAGGTGCCCGGTCAGCATGGGCTGGGTCAGAAGAGGTCAAGAAGAAGCAAGAACTCTCAGGAAGTGGACATTTAGCTGAGGGAGTCAAGAAGAAAATTCTGTCCAGGGTGGCCGCCCTGAGACTGAGATTAGAAGAGAAGGAAAATGCCAGAAAGAACTTGAGTCTTAAAAAAATTCCTAAGCTCGAAAAATCATTATCATGTACCAATGAGAAAAAAGACCCCAAAAAGGCACCTTGCAAAAGAGAAGGAAAAGGTGAGGCTCTGTTACTTTCTGTCATTGTTGATGTTTGAGTTTATAAAACCAGGTGTGAGGTTCCTGTGTCCTCTTGAGTCCTTTGCAGTTCAGATGAGCATCCACCAACCAGGTCAGCATTGAAGCCATAGTTATAGCCAAGTGACCTGAACTTATAGGCCTGTGGTTCTCAAACTTGAGTAGGCATCAGGCTCACTGGAGGGCTTGTTAAAATGCAGATTGTAGGCTGGGCCTGGTGGCTCACACCTGTAATCCCAGCTATCCTGGAGGCAGAGATCAGTAAGATTAAGGTTTGAGGCTAACCCAGGCAAAAAGTTATTGAGAACTCATCTCAACCAACAAGCTAGGTATGATGGTTCAAGTCTATAATCCCAGCTATGTGGAAAGCATAAATAGGAGAATCACAGTCTAAGGCCAGCCTGGGCCCAAAGTGGGAGACCTCACCTAAAAAGCAAAAAAGGGCTAAAGGCTTGGCTCAAGTAGTAGAGCACCTGCCTAGCAAAGCATGAGGCCCTGAGTTCAAACCCCAGGACCACCAAAAAAAATTGCTGATTTCAGGGCCCCACCCCAGAGTTTCTGTTCAGTGGGGTTGGTGGAACTCAAGAATCTGCACTTCTATCAAGTCTCCAGATGATCTGGTTGGGACAAGGCTGCCTTTAGGTATGTTTGACTGAGGGAGTGTGATTACAATGCCTTTGTGTTTGATTATCCTTTTAAAAAATCTGTTTTAAAAAGATAAGCAGAAGCATTCATTAATGCAGCTAATTAGTATAATTAAACAGACCATACCCTAAGCAGGAGTTACAGAGAAAAGTATTTCAGCACAATTTGGGATTCTCGTCTTTAGTCATTGATTTTCATTAAACATGGCTTAAACTTTGGTTTTTCTTCCAAATTGGAGTATGAAATTTCTTTCCCACTCTCCCTCCCAACTCTCCGAATCTTCCTCTTCTGGGGAGCATGGTCCAGGTTTCAGGGCTCTCACAGCAGTCACTTCTACTTCACCTAAGGAATCCCTTTGGTTTCCAGTCCTATGCCATAGAGCAACACTAGCCTCCCTTATTTCAGAGCTCATCTTCCATCCCCACGCAACCTGGCAGAAATCAGAGAGAAAAACCTCAGTGAGCTCCAGCGGCCCCTGTGTGCTGCAGCAGAGGCTCTGGCCCTGTTTGATCTGAAGGGAGGAATTTTCTCCTGTCTTAACCCGAGTCCTCAGACCTGAAGGCTGGTGTTCATTATTCCCAGCCCACATCAAACAGGTCCTGAGCACTGTTTGCCAACTAGGAGTGCAGAGCTCTCCAACTGGGTTTTTAGTCCATATGTGTAAGTGTATCTAAAGACAGGCAATGCCTTAAAAGCCCCCAAAAGTGATTTCAGTAAAGAGGGAAGAATTTATTTGAAATTCTTGTCTACATGACTTTTGCCAGATTGCTGCTGCTGTGGTCAATGTGACCTCAGCCAGCACTAAGGGCTGCTGAGGCAGAGCACAGAGCGTTCTGAGAGGGCGCAGTGCTACTGAAACAGGTACCAAAAGCTGAGAGCCAAATCTTGAGAGGGCCCTTGCCAGAGACCTCAAGATGGAGACAACCGAAGACTTTTCCAACCCAACATGGTGGTGAAGGACTGTTTCCAAAACCACCAAGCCAGGAGACCACTGAGAGGCACAGAGTCAGAGCTGAGATTTTTGCAGGAGTTTGGGCCCCGAGTGTGAGGAAGCTGTGGTATAGTGGTTTAGAGCACAGGTTAGGAGTCAATTGCTAGGGTTCAGTTCTGGCTTCTGCCAAGAACTGGGCAGCCTTGGACAAATGGCTTAATCTCTAGAACCTCATTTTCCTTATTTGTTAAATGACGGTACAGATAACTGGACTCATTCCACTAGAAAAATATAAAGCAATATGGAGGGTGTTTGGCTCAGCCCAAGTCCTCATTGTTAGCTACTGGTTATTATTATTATTTTTTTTATAAAGTATGAATGAGGCAGTTTCTATGCTGAATATTATGCTTGTGAAGTAAGTTAAGAACTTAGTTCAGGTACAAGGTCATTGTGTCTGAGTTGATACTAACCTAGAATTAGAATAAAGACTGGCTCTTGTATGTGTAGCCTTCCTCTCCGAAGAACTCAGGGCCTTGCTGGAAGGTGGGAGCTGTCTAGTGGAGGACAGGTATGGGACCCTCATCTAAGTTCCTCTTGAGTCAGCCACGCAACGGGGGTCCCAGGCAAATTTTGCTCATACCTGGGTAGGTCTTCATCCTGTCACCTTTTCCCAGCTGCAGAGGGGTTGTCACTAGGTCCAGCATCTCCCTTGTTGTGTGGGAATTTCCTTTGGAGAGAAAGATAGAAAAACAGGTGCCTGGAACTCTGGCACCCCCTCTTTTGGGCTTTTAGCTCCCTGCCCTAACTACAGCCAGCACCAGGACATCCCACAGAGAGAGCCCTCACCTGACTTGATGGTATGGATCAACCCCAATTACTTGTGATAATTATGTAGTATTAATAAGCATCTTCTGTGTGCACTAATCCACATGAGTTAACATAACTGAGGACCAGTGATAGAAAAAAATGGTTCTCTTCTGGAATTTACCATTTAGGATGACAGTGTACTAAGACTTGCCCTTGACAATGGCTTACCTTTCCCTTTAACTAATTATCTTCTAACTCTTCTTTATGGGTTTCTATCTATGACCAATTTCTTTCAAAATCTACTGCACCAGCAAGTACACAAAAATTTTTAGTTTTGTTTCCCCAGCTTCAGCTACAGTAATTTCATTGTTTTTTGTTTTGTTATGTTTGCAATGCTAAAAAGTTCTCATCCCTTGTGATAGCAGGGTTTTTTAAGACCTGAGTCCTCATCACTGCTCTGGAGGATACTCTAGACTTTGGTAATGCCTCAACTGTGCATGCACAGCAACCTGGTACCCACCCCTCCCTCCCCAAAGCAGCCTAGTTTCCACAACCCTCCACACCAGTGACCTGGTGGGTAAGAGTTAAGAGCATGCGTCCATGTGAGGGTGACATGGATGATTCTGAAAAAAAGAAAACAAAGACTGAGTTACCTTTTTTTTTTTGGCATCCAAGTATTAATATCCACCAGAGGACTTATCTGTCATCTTCCCCAGAGGATTTTCCTCTTGTCTTCCCTAGAAATTTGGCAAAGATGTGCACTGAAGATAAATCTACAGGCACTTCCAGGCCTCCTTTTGCTCATTTTTACTCCTCTCTCACATAAACAGGAGCCTTCTTGAGGCTCCTTGCAAGAGCCAGCCTTATGTTTCCCAAAGCCTGGCATTCAGTTCTGTGCCCATTTTATGCCTTTTCCTCCATCCTCCAATGTTCTTTCTGTTCCTATGTCACCCATGAAGACTGCCACCACATCACGTTGGAAGGACCTTCAAGGAAGTGACCCAGTTAAGGGCATGGGCTCAGTCAAAGCCATGGTCCACCTAAATAGTCTTAGCTTGGGCAAGAGCTCTGGCGTCAAATGAATCAAAATGAGGTTTGCCATCAGTAAGGATTTGGTGTATTTTATCTCTCTCCGTGACGGGCTTGACTTCCATAACGTTGGCAGTAGGCTCAGCTACTGTCCGGTTGAGGGATTTGTTATTTAACCAGCCCATTTCCACTTCCTGGGCACAGAGTTAGCTTTTAAATATGCATCCTACTATCCAAGTGTCTGCTGGGGCTGAGGAGAGATGGGAAACTCAGTTAAGGCTTCAACTGTTTCACTGTAGTGGAATTTGTACCAATACATGTGACCTGCCTATGGATTCTGTAATGGTCTGTAATGATAACTCTTGTGCATTACTGAATTATGAGGTTATGGAGCTTGGATTTTAATAAACTGAGACCACGTTTCCAGTAATCTCACTGCTTTCCAAATTGTTCTGATCACTGGGCCCGGTCCACAGTCCTAATCTTCTAATGTCTGTGCTGCCACCCAGTGGCTGCCCTTTTCAATTACACATTTGCCCAGCAGGCCAAGCTCTCACCACTGGTAAAATTCAGTGGGAAGTTTCAAAGGTTTTAGGGCTGGCTGGTGGAGTGGCTCAAGTGGTAGAAAGCCTGCTTAGCAGGCCTACCAAAAGTGAGGTCCTGAGTTCAAGTCCCCGTACCACCCAAAACAACAATAACAAAAAACAAACAACCAAAGGTTGTGAAAATCACCTCCTATTTTATTCAAGTAGACCCCTTTTTTGTAAATAAGATTGATGTTGACCATCTGTCCAATCCACTAGGCCCTATTTATCAAAGACAACTGTGACCAAGGGGGAAAGACAGATGAATATTGTTCCATAAATAATTTATTATTGATTTGCCTTTTCTGTTTTGGAGTCTTAACCACAGTTGCTTAGATAATCCAGATTTTAATCCCTAATCTCCAGATATGATTTTGACCTGGATCTTCTGGTAATTATTTAAAAGCATCTTTATTTAGATCAGATCCTAGAGACTAGGTCTCTATGATCTGTCTCACTCCTACTCCCTTTTTCTAAAACAATTTCTCAAGTTCTAACTCACTTTGAGCATTGTGGACTTCACCCAAGGAATTTTAAATAATGAAATGCAAGAGTTTTATATTATATTGAGTTGTTCATTTTCCTACTGTTTATGCTTAAGCAAGATACATCTCTTAGACACTCAGTGTCCCCAGCTCAAAAATTGGGGATATTATTCCTCTCTTTTATGAGAATTAAAGGAGATAAAAAGGAAAGTCTTTTGCCTACACTGACCTGCAAATCTCTTGTTTCTAGCTCCAATATTACTCAAAAAGATCCGAGCCGAGAGATTCCCTGACCACTCTGGAAATGTAAAGTTGAGCTGCCAGTTTGCAGAAATTCATGAAGATTCTACTATCTGGTGGACAAAAGATTCAAAGTCAATAGCCCAATTTCAGAGAAGGTGAGATATTTTCCCCTGCTTACTCTTCATAGTTTTGCTTGCCTATTTCTTAGAGCAGTTGTAAAAGAAAATAATCAGTTACAGGAAGTGCAAAGGCAAGTTGAAGCAGAGATTCCACATCTGTGACATCCAAGAAGAATAAGGATGGCGCATATGTGTCTGGACAGGATGCATGGTGAAAGGTGCTTGCTTTCACTCACTCTACCACCCTTGAGGTCTGTGTTCATAGTAAGCCACAGAACATTTCACTCATTTTAAAATCAGGAAATATGTCAAAAAATATTCTAGACTGAAGCTCTGTGGTCCCAAGTTTAAAGAGCTCTCTTCTGTAGGTCTGAATTTTGCTGATAGGTGTTTTCTGTTTCATCAATTCCCATTAATCTGACAAAGGTCAAACAAAGCTAAGAAGGCAAATCAACAGGAAAAAACAACCCATGAGGTTATAAAAAAGTAATAGGTATTGAAGATGACAGGCGACCATCTCTAAGGTGGAAAGACCAGTTCATTTCTGGATCCCTGTAACATTCATTACAGAAAAGGAGCCTGAGGAAGAGGTGAGAGGAGAATCATTGCCAAGAGCACCCTGATCTTGAAAAGAGGGGATGAAGAGGATAAATATGGTCAATATACTTTGTATACTTGTATGAAAATAGAACAGTGAAACTCTTTGGAACTGTTTTAAGAAGTGGGGAAAGGGAGATGAGTGAGAATGACAGAGGGAGTAAATCTAACCAAGGTACATTGTAAGTATATATGCAAATGTAATAATAAAACCTCACTGTACAACTAATATATGCTAGTAAAAAAGCTTTTAAACAAGGAAGAGAGGAAGGGAGAAAGAGAGAGAGACCCCATGTGGGATGGACCTGCTTCGTGCCTCCCTAGTGCACCTTCCTGTTCATTAATGCTATTTCAAAGAAACTGTTGAACTCCAGCTTCATCTGGTACGTTCTAGAAACAAAACACCTGGTTCTGTGGAAAACACCCTAATTCAAACAACCCCCAGAAGCTTATTTCTGCCAACGGAGGCCCCAGTTCAGTTCCCTGAGCTATGGGAAGTACTCCTATCTCCCTAATCTTGTCACAAGTAGACAGAAAAAGTAAGAAAATCTGAGACTTCTCTGTATAATTAAATCAAATGCATCTGCTTAGAGCATATGTCTGGAAATTATTTCTCAAATGCAACTAAGGAAGATTTAAGCTATGGTTTCATTTCTATTAACATCACTCCAGAAAATCTAAATGGATTGTAATTGATGTAATAACCACTTGGCTGAAAATGTCACCATTACCTTGCCTGTCTTATGTGTGGCTTAAAAAGAATTATAGGGGAGAAGTAGCTTGATTTTTTTTCCCCCTACTTAACTTTTTTATTAGTGTATATTACTTATACAAAGGGGTTTCATTGTGGTGGTTTGATTTGTAAATCATGGAGGTTCCCTAGTGCTTTATAAAAAAGTACTAATTATTCATTTTAATTATTTTCTGAAGCTGTCATCCCAGAGCAGTTAACCAGCATTTTCAGCATTTTTCAATTAACCAGCCTTGCTGTAAGCCCAGGATTGGTATTTGAATTTTCCAGGTTCCTCTATCTACTTGAGGCACGTTTACAAAAACTCACCTTCCCTCTAGGGAACATATGTCATTGGTAAGCACGCTCAGCCTTTAAATTCTTAGTGATGCTTTCTTCATTTCGTCTTGGCAATTGCTCAGTTGAACCCATTTGCTTTCTGCAAGCTAACACTTGAGAATGTTTGGGAGTCATAACTCCTTTGTATATTGACAGATCTTTTATGTTATTCTGGTAGATTTTCAAATATTAGTTAATTTATCTGACCCTTACTTCCGGCAGAATATTTCCTTTCACATGTCCCTCCATGAAATATCTCACTGCCTTGTGTTAGTCAGCTTTCCATGATTATAATGAAATAACCTGAGATAATTAACTGAGAAAGAGAGTTTTATTTTGTAGGTCAGGCAGACCTACTGCTTTGGGCCTCTGATGGGGTTGCCCGAGGCCAATGTGGTAAATATGTAGTAGAGCAAACGGCTTTCCTCATCACCAGGAAGCAAGAGAGGACCAGCTGGGGTCCCATAATCCCCCTGGAGGCCATCTCCCCAAAGATCTAAGGGCCTTCCTTTAGGCTCTACCTCTTAAATGTCCACTTATCTCCCAATAGCACCAGTGGGCGACCAAGCCTTTACTGCATGGATCTTTGTTGGACATTCAAAATTCACTTGTCAAGGAATAATTTTGTGAGTTGAAATCTCTCAAATGTAATATGAACATGCAAAAATCTTGAACTCATTAAATAAAGAGGGAACCAGTAATACAGCAAAGCTGTTCAAATGAGCATTTGAAGAATGGAGATTTCTATAATCCATCAGGTGAGGGAATGTAGAAATAAAAATCCAAATAGATGTAAAAGACTGATTAATGTAATAGCAAGGTTAAGCACAGAAGCATTCTCTTATTACTAAAGTAACCCTTGGGGAGCCTGTTAAATGGTGATGGTCCCATTTTTGCTTTTGTCAAAGGTTTGGGGGCTTCCTTTGGAAGCTAGATGTCAGAACACTTCTGAGGCCAGGGCAAGACTCTGAGGACACCAAGAAGAAGAATGCCGTAGTGTGTTCTGTGTTCTTGTAGCAGTGATCTGTCTTAGCTCTCAGGAGCTCTCAAGCTGGCACCCTCAGTGCTACTGGCCTTCTTGGTCACCACTTACCCAGCCTCCACTCTGGAGAGAGAAGCACTTAGGAGTGCCTGGGCTTTTGAATGAGTTGCTGTCCACATGGAGTGGCCTGGCTGACAGCTGAACAAGTTCTTGTTACTGGTGGGTGATCTCAAAACACCCTGGTCAAGAAGATCTCAGATCCTTGGCTTCTGAAACAAAGACTTGGATGATTACAAAGTAGTTAGCAGATTTTTATTGAAAGAGAGTGAGTAAAAGCATGAAAGTATATTCCCTGAGGAAAGGGGAAGGATCAGGCTCTTAGGGTGGCTTAAAAACAGCACCTATAGGTGATCTTGCACCTTTTTACTTTCCACAGTTACATTGCCATTTTTTTTTTTTTTTGTCCATCTCCACCAGGGCTAGAAGACCCTCAAGGGCAAGGACTGTACCTTTCTTCCCCTTCACTGAATCTCCTGGTATCGAGCACATGGCAGTCCTCTTTGGGACATAAAGAGGTGGTTTTCTATCATAGGGAAAATTCACTATTCCCTACACTAATGGCTTATGGGAACTCATAAGATGGGGACTTTTGCTAGAGATTCACGTCTGGTGTCAGTTGCTCCTTGCAACACATCCAATCCTGATCTTGCGCTTCTAGTTTCACACACAAGGAATAGGAGAGTGCAACTGAATAATGTGTCCAAGGACAGCCTCAGGATTGAAATCCAGACACTTTCTGACTCCTCAGCATTTCCTCCTTGAGGAGCAGAGGACGACCAAGACAGACAAAGGTCTTCCTAGTTGGGGTCAAGATTAAAGAATTTCTGTGCTTCAAGGAAGATGCTCATAGGACAATTGTTCTAGTTTAGCTTCAGCCTTTTGGAAGATTTTGACCACCCCTTTCCATGAGGAAGTGGTGTGCTGGTCTATGAATCCTTGTAGGTCATCCCACCGTACTCAGTGATTCGCTCAACATTTCAGTACTCTAACAGGAACTCTTCCCCTTAGAGCTGGACCTGCTCACAGCTACTTTTAACCATACATTCAGGATGTGTTTGGAACTTCCATCAGTGGACGAAGTGTTATGATTTAGTGGACTTGTTTGAAACCATGGGCACATGGTTTCATGCCTCCAGGAGAGACATGTGTAAGTCAGACTTGAAATCTACTGAAAAACCAACCAATGACAGACACTTTTGTTGAATGTGCACATAAAAGAAACAAGTAGCATGGATTTTTGCTGTTAAACTATGAAATTAACCCAGACTGAACTGTACTGCCTACATGCACACAATCTTGGTATTTAAGCAAAATTCATTATGTAGAACAATATTTGAAATTTTTGCTGCAAAGTAAGTTTTTTGAGGCTTTTTAATAAAGATTTCAATTTCAAATCACCCCCAGTTTTAGGGCAGAAATCAGAATTTACTTGAGGAGGCAATATAAGGAGATCAAGAATGTTTTCTTAAATTTCTGTGTCTCAGTTTTCTCACCTGTGAATTGAAAATAGCAATTGTCATTCTCTCATTAGATTGTCCTGAGGATGACATTTAGGTGATTTAGCACAATACCTGATACCTACCAAATGCTCAATACACATTAGCTATCACCACCATCATCATCACACATATTTACCACCACTACCATCAGTTTTTATATTCATAGCACAATGCCTGGAACTTGGTAACATGGGGTGGGAGGATAGATGGATGGGTGATATTCACTTGGATGGTACTTAGAAGGACCCATGCTAAGAGTGGTGGCTCACATCTGTAATGCCATCTACTCAAGAAGCAGAGATTGGGAGGATTGAGGTTTGAGGTCAGCCTCCACAAAAATCAGCAAGACATAGCTCAAAAATAAGCTGGGTGTGGTGGCAGATGCTGGTGGTCCCAGCTACTCAGAAAGTGGAGGTAGGAGGATCACAGTCTAAGGCCAGCCCTGGCAAAGCTTGACTCTTTCTGAAAATTAAACCAAAAAAGCAAAAAGACTGGGGGTATGACTTAAGTGGTATAGCACTTAGTACAAAGCCCAGAGTTTAACCCAACACCACAAAAGGGGGGCTTCAAAAAACTGAGCACAGTGATACACATCTGTAATCCAAGCTACTTGGGAGACTGAGATGGGAGGATCACTTGAGCCCCAGAGCTTAAGAATAGCCTGGGCAACATAGCAAGACACCTTCTCAAAAAAAAAAAATCATAAAAAATAGAGAGACTGCAGTTATGAGTTCTTATATAAGGCAAAGAGCCCTGTCTCTTTTGTCCCTTGTTATGCCTGTGTTTAGATTTGGGTTTGGAGTCACCAGATTCCCTCAAGCACAGAATACCTGGATTACTAATATAACTAAGGTTAGGTTCTGAGCAGAGATATTAGCAACAGCTCCCAAAACTCACAATTTCAATTCTTGGCTCTACTGATGGCAGTTAGTCCTCTGGGATGTCACTTGTGTATTCATATCGTACATTGGAGTGAGGGCATTAAGCCCAAATGCCATAATCCTCCCCTATGGATAAACAAATTATATTATCAGCTGATGGGGGTGGGGACCTTGTACTTCAGCCAGCTCATTGGCTGAAAACAACAGGGCGGGAGACTTTATCTTTTTTTTCCATCGTGACATTAAAACTTCAGAATGATGAAGCATGTGAATGTTAATGTCCCCCGTTACAGTGCGGGGGACAACTCCAGTGTTTCCTTGGCTATTGTTCAAGCTGGGCAGAAGGACCAGGGCCTCTATTACTGCTGCATCAAGAACAGCTATGGAAAAGTCACTGCTGAGTTCAACCTCACAGCTCAAGGTAAGCCTTGGCCTTCTCAACTCCAAGTGAAAACCCATGGGCTGGATGGGCTCCTGTGGACATCTGTGCTAATGCCAGTCTCTTCTTTGTCTCCTTCTAGTTCTCAAACAGCTTGCAGGCCACCCAGATAGCAAAGGTAAGCCAATGTAAGCGACCTGCCAAAGGAAATGAACTCCCCCAAAACACAAATTGCTCCTGGAGAGAATGGTAGGGCATTGTTCCTGTGCACCAAGTGGGGAGCTCTCAGGAAGGACAGAAGTGAGCCACAACTCTGAGCCATTTGCACATGATTGTAAGGGCTATGTTCCCCATTATCATTTCCTTCGAACGCCAGTACCCAGAAGTGTATCATTTAAAGGCGAGATTAGACTGTGACAGTGCCATTGTTAGGAACCCTTGGGGCGGGAGTTTAAATCTGACTTTTTCCTCTAAGCCTGTTTTGCATTCAGCCTTCCTTGCATGTTTTCCAGCCTCCCTAACACTATACAGCAGGTTTTGTTGCTTCAATTTCCTTTTCATTTGACTAGCTGAGCAGAGACAGCCAAGTGTATGGAGTACAACCCCATCTGACTGCATCCTAATGAAAATGAAAGATGGGTTTTTATGTACATCTGGCATCACTACAGCCTAATAGCTGTTGCTCCTGAACACTCTGCAGCCACTGGGCCATCCACAGAGTTGCCCACAGAATGGTGGAACCATGCTTTCCTTATGTTCCCTCTTAGGGAAAATTATTTATTCGCCTCCACACACCCATGCCTACTTCTACATCATGAGCTGGGGGAGCAGGGAAGCCCTGGTTTGTAGAGTTTTTCAGTTTCTGAGGCATAAATACCCAAAGCATGAATAATTTTATACTACCTATGTGCTCTCAAATTATGGAGCTGGGAAGAGATCCCCACACTTAGTCCTCAGGAGCTGGAGCAAGCCAGCCCACACATCACTGCAGTCCTCCTGAGCCCCCATGGTCATATAACCTTTAACCAGTGTAGGACCACTGGTCAGTTTTAGGAGAAATATGGAAAAAGCCTGATAATGAAACTGGGTTAGCATCTTAAAGATGTATTTCCAAACATCTGAAAACTCTGTGAAAAAGGACAATAGAAGAAATGAAAGTGCACTTCATCCAGTACATGGAGGGCAAGAAGCTGGGGTTGTGAGTTATAAGTGGCCCAGCAAATATTGCAATATTTATCCAAAACAATGAACTTAAATACAAGCTCCTCACAAACTCATTCACGTGCTAAATACCTATCTTCAATGCACAGTGTACTTGTGCTATAATTTTAAATGTGCTATAATTTTAAATGATTCCTTTTTCTGCTCTGTATACCCAAAAATCAAAATATGCAAGAATCTCCTTCCTTTTTTGTACTTTAGAAAACAAAATGACTTTCAGAATACCATCTTGTCAGCTTCTTAGCAGTAATTGGCAGTCACATCTCAGATATTTATTATGACTTTACTCATTTAGGTTTGCATAAACTCATTTCTCAAGGTTTTTAACAGTCAGGAATGAGACCCCATGGGGGATAAGTGACAGGCCACCATGTGGAAATGCTACTTCTGTTAAGGCCCAGTGACTCTAACCATAAAGTTTGGGTCTGGGCCGTAAAGTAGAAGCTGAAAATTACTTATGCTTTTTTTTTTTTTTTTTTGAGAAAGGGTCTTGCTCTATAGCCCTATGAGGCCAGTCTCAAACTGGCCTCAAACTCATAATCCTCCTGCCTCCACTACTCAAGTGCTGGGATTATGGGTGTGCACTACTGCACCCTGCTGATTTACTTCTAATCACCTGTTTTTATTTGGAAGATTCTCTCATTGCCCATTTGATTCATTAAATGTTCTATAGGAGGAATTAATAACACTTTGCAAGTCAGTCTCTAATTTAAAATCCAATAAAACGAAACTCATAGGAGAGGTCAAGACGATTGATGGGGCCGACTAAAACACAAAGCAGCCCACCTTAATGATGTTGTTACATTTTATGAATAAATTTGTGAATCACTTTTCTCTAACCTCAAAGTAGCCTTTGGCACCGGGGGTATTAGGTACCCACACAGTTTCTCTGTCTTTAGGATTTGAACTTTGCAATTCCTGGGTGCAGCAGAGCCTTGGTGAAGTGTTTTGATTTCCCAACACTCATCTGTACACACCTGATTGTTTAATTCCAAGGAGTCTTTCCTGGTTCTTCTGGAACTGCCCCCTTGGACACTTGAGGCGGTCTGGAGTGAGTCCAAGCATGTTGGTCTTCACAAAACTTCAGGGAAAATTCCACCTTCTTCCTACCTGAATCACTCTTCCCAGAAAGGAAATGGCCTAAATAAATAATTCTTATTGCCATCTCCCCTTTTAAAAGAGGGCGAAGCTCTAATGACTCACTCATTAACGGTGACATTGTAGGCATCTTTGGACAGCAGGTCCTCTCTGCAAAGGTGCTTCCTCCGCAGAGAGAGGCATGTTCAGCCAAAGTTCCAGCTCTTTCCCCACAGGACTCTGCAGAGATGGAGAACAGTCCTGAAGTTGCTTTTCTCTCTCATGGTTTTAGCCTTCTTAAGTAGACATTTCTGTTGGAACTTATGGTCAGGATTGTTAATTATACCACATATAATACTGTGCAACAAATTTTACCTTCCCATTTCTAAGCATACAGTCTGGAACAACTTCGGTCTTTATTTAAATTTGATTTTTTTTTTCTTGTGGGGTTGGGAATCTAACCCACAGCTTGACACATGTTCGACAAGTGCTCTTCCACATCTGCTTCTTGGTTGTCTTTGGCTCTGCAGCCCTTTTCCTAAACAGACACATTTTGGAGTGGCATGTTCTGGTCCCCCCACTCTTCTGCTAGCCTTTATGAAAAGGTTTGGTGCATTTTCTGATATCCTCTTCCTTCTGGCAGCTTCTAGCTCTTCACCCATTTTTTTCTATTTGAAAATCCTTCGCCTACTTTTTTCTTTTTGGTACTAACTAGGCCTTTGCATTAACCAGTACTTTCTCTTTTTTTCCAGTGTTGGGTACTGAAATCAGGGCTTCTCATATTGCCAGGAAAGCACTCTACCACTGAGCTACCTCCCTTTCCCCCCACCTGGTACCAACCAATGCTCCTAGGAATAGGTTCAGGCTCTTTACAGCTAGTGTCAGTGACAGACTGCTCTTAAAGCATATGCTTTAAAATATTTCATAAAGAACACAAAAATATTTCTGTAAATATTCTGTACAAAACCATGAAGTGAGATTTTCACATGACCCAAATATGTCAGTTTTCATCTGCTCTGAGAAGTGGAAGGTGCTTTTAAAATCTCAACAATCTTGTTACATTGAAAGTTATCTATTTCCTTCTCTCAGCAAATCACAGATCTGATTTGATCATCTCTGGCTGAAAATAGAGCATCCTGATAGAATCCATTATCTACTCTCTGAAAAATAGCTGCTAGGAAACTCAGAAAATAATTCCACTTTTCTTTTACAAAGAAATACAAAATGACTCTACTTTTTAAAACATTTATTTTCAAAGGCAATTCTCTTTACTTTTTTGTTTTATTTTTTGCCTACTTGTTTTTTATATATGTGTCCCGTCCTGCAGGACAGATCAGCGTGGGTAGCGAACCTAGAAGGGGAAGAATGAAGGGACAAGAGACACGAAGGATGACAGCAAGACAGGAGTTCTGATCAAGCTGCAAAATTTTATTGTTCACACAGGGGTATTTATGTGCTGAGGGGGTGAGGGGTACGACGAGGTGCAGGCTGGTTGGCTGGTTCTGCTATAGGACTTCTGATAGGGTGCACGTTCTCGCCGGCGGCAAGGTAAACTCCCAGAAGAGAAGCAGGGACGGCGCCATCTTGTGCTGGAGGTGGAGAAGTTGGGACAAACAACCGTGGGCAAGGTCAAGACAGAATGGCTCACAAAGGGAGCCTTGTCTCCGACATATATGTATCACATGCCTTCTCAATGGAGGTAATATCACTCCCCCAGGGGGCAAAATATCTTATTCTTCCTGTGTGTAAATATTGATATGCTATGTTACACACTATATACATATGGTATAAATTTGTACCATCTACATATGGTACAAGCATGGTGCTCACATACCACATTTGTAGTATTAACATTTCAAAGGGGAACAATTAGAAAAAAATGCCCAAAGAGTCTCCTGGGGGAGCAAATTGAAAAAGGTTGATATGATGCCGTTGGGTCTCCATTCCTCTTCTGTACTTTCACCCACCTTTTCTATTGCTTTTAGTTGCTCTGCGTAGTTCTGCTTTTGTTTTCTGAATGTGTCTAAACTTCTTCTCCTGGCCTGGGGAGGTGGTGCATGCCTGTAACCCAGCACTCAAGGACTGAAGCTGGAGGATCAAGGGTTCAAGGCCAGCTTGGGCTATATAGTGAAACCATGTTTCAAAACAAAGCAACAAACAAAAAAAATTCTTTTCCTGGTCTCTGAGCTTTGCTCTAAATGATCTTCCCTTGTGTGTAACCCACTGGAGCTCCAGTCTGATCCTTCCTTATTCTCCTTCAATGACCTTTCTCTTCCTCTCTGCCCCCCTCCTTTTAGATATGTCTCTGTTGAAAGTTAAGTGTAGTCAATCTTGCCCTTAACCTACCCCAGGGAGACTAGTTGACCAAGGATCAGGACTGGGGAATAGTCTGTCCAACCAAACCTATGCTATTTTAGGATGTGAAGAGATTGAATTCAGTCAGCTCATCTTCAGAGAGGACTTCCTCAATGACAGCTATTTTGGGGACCGCCTGCATGGCCAGATCGCCACAGAAGAGCTGCACTTTGGGGAGGGGGTGCACCGCAAAGCCTTCCGTAGCACTGTGATGCAAGGCCTCATGCCCGTCTTCCAGCCAGGCCATGCCTGCGTGCTCAAGGTGCACAATGCTGTCGCCCATGGGACCAAAAACAATGACGAGCTTGTGCAGAGGAACTACAAACTCGCTGCCCAGGTGGGACAGTGTGCTCAAAGGTATCCCTTCAGGTGTGAGAGTGACCCGAGATAACATGAGAAAATCAGACTCGGAGGTGTGGGAGCGTCTCCACAGGGTGTTTGTCTTATTTTGGCTATGGATTAAGGCTGAAGGCTGGGTGTCACTTCTCAGTTCTTAGGAGGAGTTTCCTGGCTTATGTCAGCCAGTTGGGACTCAGCCAGTATTTGGAGACACCTCCCCAGTTCTCACCTGGGATCTGATCGTTTTCATCCCTAAGAAGCCCATGAGGTCCCTGGGAATTTGAATCTACTTGGACAGAGGATGATAGGAAGTTTGGAATTCTGAGCAACACTAGATTCCTGAGAACAGACAAAATCAGCACTAGATTCTGGAGTGCTTTGTTTTATGGAGGGCTGGGGAAGAAGGAGAGCATCTTCAGAAGGGCCAGCATTTGGCTTGTTTCCTGCTTTCCAGAGTTTGGTTCAAAGTCAGCCTATAAACTATGAGGGGAGATTGACCCAAGTCTCTAGCTAAGTTCCCACCTCTTTCTGTTATTGGGTCACAGAACTTGAGAGAATAGAAAGCAGAATCCACTTTGCTTTTCCTAAGTAAAAAATCTTATCATGGTCATAATTTACTACTCCAAAAGGAATTACAGTGGGAGATCTCATAAGAAAGGCAAGAGGGCCCCCTGCCCCCAGCAAACATTATCACACATCGTGCCAAGGGGCCAGTCCCGTAATGTTTAGGGGTGAAGTTCAGCCATGCTGGTTATGGAAATTTTATAGTTCAGGGACACCTTGACTGTAGCCTGGATAGTTCCTCATATCTTAGGGCTCTTCTGAACATGGTGAACCGTAGGTTGCTTCAGGGGCTGGGCGATATAGCTCAGCCTAGCATGCAGCAGTCCCTGGGTTATATCCCTAATACCCCCTCACCCAAAAGTTTTGCTTTTAAGACCCCAACCTGGGGATGTGTCCAGGAATCCACTGGCTTGACCTATCTTAGAAAATCTCCTGAACAGTCTTGCTGACAATACTCTGAATTCTTCTAATCATATGAATTTCCCATGTATTTGGATGACACAGGAATGCTATGTTCAAAATATAGCCAGACACTATGCCAAGATCTATGCTGCTGAAGCACAGCCTTTGGAAGGCTTCGGAGAAGTGCCAGAGTAAGTGTGCCAACCCTGTCCTGTGTTACTACCCCTGACCTGCTAGGGCCGTGGAAGACCTAGAGGAGTGGGAGGGTGAGAAGGACCTGTAGGTCCTTCTGTCTGTCCTGTTGGTCTCTGTCTATAAGCTGTTAAAGGGATCATATGGCTTCTATTGTTCTTGTTTGGTCTCTAGAGGCATACAGAGAGGTGCCTGATAAATAGTCTTTAAATAAATGTATGTGTAGATGGATGGATGGTGTTAGACTGAAAGAGGCACAGAATAGATAGGCAGGAGGCAGCTCAAACGCCAGCACAGAGTTTACTCGGGAAGAAACCCTATGGAGGGGAGTATCTGGCCATAGCCAGAACGCCATTGCCACTTACAGACTTGGAGTAGATATAGGGAAGGGGTCTGGAGGGGAAGTTTAGCTGGATGGGAAAGTTTGGGGTTAAAAATTGCTAGGGGAAGTTAGAGAAGATAAGTGGTAATTAGGTAGATTGGTTGCTCAACCAACTCCCACACCATCTCGTCTCCCCACCTCCACTCCCGCAAGGTGAGAGTTTGTCATTCCTGGTGGTCCTGGTGGTCCTTCCAGTAAGTATGAAACCGGAGTTTTGGACCCAAGGCCCAAACTCCTGAGGTTCCATATGCCAGGTCCAGCTTCCTGCCCCAGCTTCCATGCCTCTGGCATGGTGAAGGCAGAGAAAGATTTATTGCATGACTCAGGACATGCCAGAGGAAGAGGCAGAGTAAGCACTCAGCTCATCTTCAGTCATCTTCAGGGTGCAGACATGAACTAGGATCGGGGACAAAGGTATTCATAAACAGTTCCAGTCAGAGGTGTGTTCTGGTTGACCATTGTCTCAGCTTGAGGGTTCTCAGAAGGATTCCAGAGAAGATGTTACTGTCATCTCTTGAGTGGAGCAATCTGGTTCCCATGAGATGATCGCTCCTGCTCCAGGGTACAGCCACCTCATTATAGGCAATCGTCCTCATTTGGAGGGTGGTCTGTCCTGCAAGTCTCTGCTGTTCCTTTCGAGAAGTTTCAGTCTCTTATCATAAAGATGTTATCAGTTCTGTCTTTTCTGGAATCCAAGGTTATTGCAAAGTGACTACAAAGAGAATGACTTAGAGCAAAGACAGATAGAAAATGGAGATACCAAGCTTTTCCTGTTTTTAGTTAATTGTGTGCCCAAGTAAGGAGTCAGTGCTTTTCAGCAAAAGCAATTTGAGTACCTCTTACAAGTGGTGGTTTATTTCTAGTAAGCTGCCTGTATGGTGTGGGGGGTGGGCGTTGATCCTAACATGGCTTCCCTTATGTTCACACTAACACATGAGTAGATAAATTCATTCAATAAATGTACCTACTGTGTTAAGTAGAAAAGAAGTATCTACTATCATGGATATAAACAATAAGCAAACACAAAAGAACAAGAGGCTATTCTAATGCAATTAGTCCTGTGATGAAAAGAAACCATGGTGATGTGACAGGGAAGGGGATTGGATAATCAGTAATACAGCACTCACTTCTTGGAATCCTACAGATATAAATTATACTGGTTACTTTTACGTGCTCACTGCCTAAGTATTTTTGGCCTCAGCAAATTCTTGGGAGTCTGGAGCTTGTGTTTACTACCCCGATTGCTTGGTTCAAGACGTATTAACACACTAAGTGGAAAGAAAAAGGGCCTTGCTAGCACACATTGGAAATTCCAGGCAAAGCAGCCATTTATATATGAGTAAAAACTGGGAGGGGAAAGAGGAAAGAATTCTCCTCTAGTTTTCCTCTGTTAACTCACAAAATGAGAAAAATACTTTCCTTTAGGTGGTATGTTAAGCAGGCAATGTAGAAGTCTAATGCTTTCTGCTCTTTGCCAAAAAAAAAAATCCTTAACATTTATTTAGTACACAAGTATTTGTTAGCAACTTTAAGAAAAATTAATATATTATAAAGAGAAAGATCAATTGTTTTTCTGTTAAATGCACTGAGACAGCAATCTGGGATGAGTTAAGTCTGTATTAGAAGAGCTGGCCTGCTGTCTTTCTTGAACCACCCACCCTCTTTTTAGTCTCCTCTTAAGTTCCTCCTTAAAGGAGAAAAGAGTGGATCAACTAATGCATCCCCACACATGGAACCACAGTGCCCTCCAGGAGGGAGGGAGACCCAAAAATCATGCAGCTTGACACCATCTGGGGTCCTTGGAAAGGAAAAGAGTTCAGCATTATGAATATTGAGACTGATGGGGAACTTGGAAAGGACCAGGGTAGAGTTTAATTGGCTTCATCACCATTCCAATAAACAGGCCACTGTCCTGAAGATAGATGAGGACATTTTTCTGCCAAAACCTATTTTGCTTTCCTTACAATGGGAGAATTTCTGCCCACATGGAGGATTTTAGTATATGGAAGGGTAAGTGACTCTACAGCAGGAACACACACACACATACACACCATGAGCTGGCTCTGCACATTCCCAGCCTTCTCCAAAAGCCCACATCACTGGGTCCCCAAAGCTCTGGACTGCAGGCCCCTCATGTTTACTTCCAGACAATGATGAGGGCCTCAAGCAGTTCTCTTTCACACAGCCCATGGGATATTGAAGAGAAAATACTCCACACTCCTGCAGAGTCTGTTTTTGAATTTATGAATATCAATGGCGTCACATTGTCTATGCAAATTGCATCCCACTGAGCAGAGACCAGGCTAATTAAGACAGTGAATAATGTCCAGCCCTTGTTTCTGTTTTTTTTTTTTTTTTTTTTTTTTCCTTTCCCCAAAGGCTGAGGAATTAATAAGAACCAGGAAAACCCTTGAACCCTTTTGCTTGGTAAAAGGGCCACTGGCCCAGAGGGGGTCTTCAGAGAGTCCCCTGAATATTACAAAAATGATGACATGTGACAGATGGAGGCTTGGTGACCAGGCTGTTTTTAGGGATATGGGATAGGCCACTGCCTCCAATTTGCCTGCTCCCATATGGCTGTTATTTGAAATTTCTCTAACAAGACACAAAGAGCTTTCATCCTAAAATGGGAAAAAAAATGCTTTAAGGCTCAGGGCCTTTTCCATTTGCTATGCCTTCACCTGGAATATTCTTCTCTGAGATATCCTCATGGCTCCCCTCTCACTTCCTACAGGTCTCTGCTCACACATGCTTCATTAATTAGCAAGGACAGTCTCTGACCTCCTTAAATAAAATGGCAGCCCCTTCCTTCCCCTGTGCCACATGTCTCCTTTCCACTGCTTTGTGTTTCTGCCTAGCACTCAGCACCTTGCATTTAGTCATTTATCAACTGTCTCCATCATTTAAATGTAAGATTCCTGGGAATAAAACCTGTTTTCTTTATTTGCTATTTATGGAAGAGTTTCTGATACATAGAGGCCACAGAATGAATGTTCTTTGACTGAATGAAAGGAAAGAAGGATGGATGGATGAATAGTTGGATGGATGGATGTGAAACCATCCATGCCAACCCCAGGACCAAACTCGTGAGCTTCTACATGTCAGGTCCAACCACTTACCCCATATGCAAATAAACAGACAAGTAAAGGGTAGAGAAAGGAGATTTATTAATTGACCTAAGACAGGACATGGCAGAGTAGACACTTCAGACCATCTTCAGGTATAAGCTCTAAGTTTAAATAGACAAAGAATTGGGACAGAGAAAGGGTGTATAACTAAAAAGGCCTGGTCAAAGTGTGGCCTGATTGATTATTATCTCAGTTATGGTTCTGTGGGGTTCTGGGTTTGGAGAAATTGTTATCACTGTCACCATTTGAAGGGAGAAATCTGTTTCCCATGAGATGCTGGGTGCAGCGTCATCATTTTAGGTAATCAAGGGAGGGAGTGTCTGTCCTACAAGGTGCTGTTTGTTCCTTAGGGATAGTTTTAGTCCCTTGTCATAAAGATGCTATCAATCTGTCCTGTCTTTCCTGGAACCCTAGGTGACTGCAAAGTGAATAGCTTAAAGATAAATACAAGATGGAGGCAGGGATGACAAACCTTCTCTTATTTTTAGTTAATTCACAGGCCCAAGTAATGATTCAGTGCTTTTCAGCAAAAGTAGTTTAAGCACCTGTTACAGATGGATGATAATCATAGACCAATGAGTTATTAGGATATGATTATAATTATAATATTCATTCCTACACAAGCAATTAAAATTAATTCCAAGAAGGAATTTCTAAATAATTCTAAAAACAAATAAAAACAGAAATGAGTCTCCTTACTCATTACGTAATAATTGGGAGGATTTTTAGTCTAAATCTAATGAATGAATTAGGGATGTGGCTTAGTGGTAGATTGCTTCCCTAGCATTTATTTGTAAGGCCCCAGGTTTGATCCCCACCACCACACATGCACACACACACACACACACACACACTCTCTCTCTCTCTCTCTCTCATATACCCACCCACATGCACACACAAAGTCTGGGGATTGATTCTGTAGTTCCCTGCTGCTCCAGATGAGGGGAGAATGGCTCAGACACTTGTCTTTCCATCTGAGAACTTGACATATGTTTATCTTCTCTTTCCTGCTAGGATCATTCCTATTTTTCTTATCCATCGGCCTGAGAACAACATCCCTTATGCAACAGTGGAAGAGGAGCTGATTGGAGAATTTGTGAAGTATTCCATAAGAGATGGGAAGGAAATCAACTTCTTGAGAAGAGAATCAGAGGCTGGTCAGAAATGCTGTACCTTCCAGCACTGGGTATATCAGAAAACCAGCGGCTGCCTCTTGGTCACAGACATGCAGGGTGAGGAAAGCAGCTTGACCAGGGCTCCAGGGAAGTTATGGGCCTAGGGTGTTCCTAAGGGTGGGAGAGAGAAGAGGGATATGGAAGGAAAGGAGAGATCTGCTGGTGACTTTAAGCACGTTTTTCCAAAGAAGGTGTTCCTATATCTCACCAGAAACAAAGTTTGGCAAAGGAGCCTGAAATGACTATCCAAATGGAGTACCAAAGTTCATCTTAATAACTGTTCCAGTAATGCCTTCCCATTACCAAAGTAACCAGAGATTAGCTTGATTGTTATATCCTCATTAGGTGCAAACTCAGAAGTTCATACAAAAAATCCAGATGCACCAAAAGATAAACTGAAATGTAATATTTCCTTCTCAATAGGTGGAAGGGTCTTTAGTAAAAAGGGAAAAGATTTATGTGATAGGATAAACCAGAACATGAGTCTTTAGAATGTTTGAGATTTTAAGTTCCCCCGGTGAATTTGCAGTCTGCTTTCAATCTGTACACAATTTTTAAGAATGACATTTCTTATATGCAAAAGCATTGTCATTGTTAGAGTTCCACCAGGAACAGATCTCAGTCAAGTACAGTCATCCCTTGGAATCCACAAGGTTTAGTTTTGGGACCCCTGTACATAAGTAGATAGGTCCCTTACGTAAAATGGCATGGTATTTGTAGGTAATGGACACACATCCTCTTGTATACTTTCAATCATCTCTAGATTATGTGTGATGTCTAATACAGTGTACATGCTCTGTAAATAGTTGTCATGCTGTATTGTTTAGGGAATAATGACCAAAAAGTCTGTACATGTTCAGTACGGATGCAATGTTTTTTGAATACTTCTGTATCCTTGGATTTGACCAAATCCAAGATGTGAAGGCAGGGCCAGAGAACCTGTATAGAGTACAGATAGCTTATTTGGGAGAGGATCCCAGCAACCAGTGGTAGGCAAGTGAGGAAGAGTAATTAGAGAAGCGTAGACAGCCAATGGGGAGATGGAGATGCATGGGAGGGGGGAGTAGAAGGGGAGCAGGGGTGATTAGCTACCAGCCCCCTTAACACCAGCTGAAGGCTGCTGTGGTGGGGCACTGACTCTCCCACACTGGCACCTGCCACATGAGCAAACCACACTGGGGAAAACATGAACAGAGAAAGTTCTTAGGGAAAGAAATGCTGGCGGTGGCCCTGTAGGAAGAACCAGCACACTCAGAAGTGGCTAGGGTAAGGACGAGAAGTGGGTTGCTAACAGCTTCTGACATAAGGCACCCCATTCCTTTTTCTTTCCAGATAATAATGCTAAGAACAGTCTGAACCATATCATTGTATGGTTATCAAATGTCAGACACTGTTGCTCAGCCATTTCCTAGCTGTCAGTCTTTGGACAAATGACTTGCTTCTCTCAGCACCTTCTACATGGGGTTGTTGTGAGGATTAACTGAGATAGTGAAACATTTACTGCAGCATTGCCTCATAATAAAATGTGTCCTAGTTTTTAAAATTCCTTATTTTGAAATAACTATAGGCTCACAAAAAGTTTCAAAAATATACAGAAAGGTTCCTATGTACCCCTTTACCCAGCTTTGCTTCTTGATAGCATCTCATTTAACTATAGCATGTTTTTAAAACCAGGAGGCAGACACTGACACAATGTTTTCACTGACTTGAAGCTCATCAGTTTTTAAAATTATTTTTATTTAGCCTTCATAATAACTCTGTAAAGAAAATATCATGATTCCCATTTTACAGATGAGAAAACTGAGGATCAGCAGCAGTGACTTAATTGCTGCCAGTCACCTCGTGAGTAGAGAAGTCCAAGACTCCAACCACATTTTCTGACTCCAGATCTCATGCTTTCCTCCATTAACCACAAATTAGCAAATTTGCAGGAGATTTTTCCCCCATCTTTCCAAGTATCTCCTGATATTAAAAGGCTGTGGTATGCGTGTATTGTCCTTCTTCCTCCTGAGCCTTTTGAGGACTCTTGCAGGTCATCTGGGAAATGAAACATCACTGTCTTTCAAATGAGCTAAACTGCACCTTTAAGACTCCTTCTTTGAAGAGACTTTGCTGCCACACTCACACAAAATGTGCTCTCAACAGACAGCCATTTATTATTATTATTATTTTAATTTTTATTTTATTCATATGTGCATACATTGTTTGGGTCATTTCTCCCCCCTTCCCTCCGCCCCTCCTCCCCCCCCTCTGCCTTCCTTCCCCCCCCACTCCCTCCCTTACGCCCCCTTACCCCTCGCTACCAGGCAGAAACTATTCTGCCCTTATCTCTAATTTTGTTGAAGAGAGAGTATAAGCAATAATAGGAAGGACCAAGGGTTTTTGCTTGTTGAGATAAGGATAGCTATACAGGGCATTGACTCACATTGATTTCCTGTGCGTGTGTGTTACCTTCTAGGTTAATTCTTCTTGATCTAACCTTTTCTCTAGTTCCTGGTCCCCTTCTCCTATTGACAGCCATTTATTCTACTCAGATCATAGCTGTGCAATTGAGGTTGCCCCCTCTCCATCTTCTTCAGAGTTAATTTTGCATTAAATATAGTTTGTCTACTGAAAAACAGCAACCTGGAGCTTCATGCCCAGCTAGTTTTGCTTCGAGGCACTGTTACCATAGTGGAATATTACATCTCTCTATAAATGATGTGTGTGCTTAAGTGTGTTGCTGCCATGTTTCATAACAGTGTTTATTTCCTCTCTGCTGCTGAGAAAATCTTACTATTGTCATCATCATTATGGCACAAGGTAGCACATCTGCTCTCTAAGCGACGACCTCTCTACTTTTTATAATTTTACTGAGACACTGGACTTAGGCTAAAACAAACAAGCCTAAAACTCAACCATCACCTTCTTTTTTTTTTCATTTCTTTTATTCATATGTGCATACAATGATTGGATCATTACTCCCCCCTTCCCCCCACCCCCTCCCAACCATCACCTTCTTAGACTCTTGAATTCTTCTCGCTGGTCTTTATTGGAGTGTGCCAGGGCCTGCAGGTTTTTGGGGAGTAAAAGGCAAGTCTGTGATGTGGAACCAGGACCTGTGCCCTAGTGAGACCACTAGGCTTTTTAAGGAACCATCACCCACAAGACCAATGAGCTTAAGTTCTGAGAATGTTCTCCTAATTCTGTCAAACTCCCTTTCATCCATCGGAAACAACCTGTAAATCATTGTTATCCTCAACTCAGTTTGATAGGTGTACACTAAAACTTAAATTATTATCCTCAAGTGATTGGTAATAACCTTGGTTGAATTGCTGAGAGATTATTAAACCATGAGACAGAAGTTTCTCTTAACAAATTATGTTCTATTTTTCTAAACTGAAAGTGACAGCTGGTAATTATGAGACACAAGGGAGAGTAATTGCCCAAGTTCAAGACCTTTTGCTGAATGGCTTTTTAAAAATTGGACTTCTATGTCACTTACAGCTATAATTTTTAAATGCAACTTTCCATGAAATGATGTCCAAATAGGACATTTACAATTTGGAGTCTTTTTTTTTTTTTAACCATAGAGCCTGTAATAAAAGCTATGTGAAGCATTTCTACATATGTTTAGGTTGTTAGCAGCATTGAAAGAATGAGATGAATTAGTTACCAACTGTGAAAGAGGCCTTTAAATGCTCACTGGCACCACCAAAGCACTGTGTCTAATTTTGCTCACAGGTGCAATACAGAAAAGCCAGGCTCATTGCTTCTGTCCAACTAACCAGTCTGACTAGCACCATGTCCTGCATTTTTGTCAGGTTCCAGGCAGACACTGCTGAAAGTGTTGAGCCTCCAGTTTTCCATTCCTGGGCCTGTGGGATGGAGCACCAAGGAAGTAGGTTGCATCAGATCTGACCCCAGGTTGGCTTTAGGGGGACCTGGCTACTTCCTTCTAAGCCAGACTGGTTTCTAGGCTGTCTGGCTCTTCCATGGCCAACTCACCTGCTGGGATACCAGTGCTTACAGCCCAGGCCATTAAGGACCAGTCATAGGTTAGAGAGGAGATGTCCAACAGATCAGACACTGGTGGAGTGGCATTATGACGCTATGCTCTGTGATAAAAGATGGGAGTCTAGTGAGTTGGGGCACATGCCCTAGGAAATCGGAACAGAATGGCTACCTGGTTGGGGGAAGAAGATGCTAGAAAAGCCCAGAAGCCACCACACTCTGGGCATCAGAGAGAAGCTCTTCCTCCCTGCTAGACTCTGGAGAGTTAAGGATGTAGGCTGAGGGTGGGGTGGAAGGAGCAACATGGCTCCTTTCTAGAAGAAAGTAAATTGTCCACTCTCCTGGCATCCCTGGTTCTGTAGTGACTCTTCCAGCTGCCCCTCCTGGGAGGACAGGAACCAGAAGACTTCTATGTGCTTGAGATTCTACCTGGGACACCCATGGTGTTTCACTGAACCGCAGTAGGAAGCTTGGGTGCTGTTTTGACCTTTCGGGTTTGGTACTCAACACTTCCACCCCTCCCCCTTCATGGTCCAATTGACAGAGGTTAGGACAAGTGTCAATGGGTCAAACCATGAGTTCCAAATGTCAGCCTCTCCAGACCAATGATTAAAACTCCACCTATAATCAGGATTGTTTCCCTGGATCTGAAGCTGATCCAGAAACTCCTAGCCCTGGATGGGAAATGACCTTAATGGAAATGGGAAAATGCATGTTTGGAGTTTGGTTTTAACTGAGACCACTGCAGCCCATGCCCCCTCCTCCTTCCGTTGTGTTAAGATTTCCACTCTCCAGACCTGAGCCCAAGTCAGCATTTGTGGGGAGACAGCTCAGAGGAAACAACAGGCTTCAGCAGCATTACAGAGCAGCTGGTTCCCTCCTCCATCCTAAGGAGAGATGAACCAGGAAGGCTTGACACCCCTGCACTGCTATGGCAGAGGCTGCATGTCAGAAAGGCTGTCAGCCTTCACAAAGAGGCCTCTGGGGGTGGAAAGCAGGAGGAAAGAGCAGTTGCACAGGAAGGAAAAGTGCAAAGTCATCCCACCTACCCTTCCCTAAGAGTAGCCAGCTGATCCTTTGAGGATCCCCCAGTAACTCAAACTCCATCTGTGCTCTCTCTTCCCATAGGTGTAGGAATGAAGTTAACTGACGTTGGCATAGCAACACTGGCCAAAGGGTGAGTAGAGAAAAATCAAGTGGGTGTCATTTAACATTGGGCTTCCAGCAAACACTGCTCAGCTGATGAGGGCAAAGTGGATTTCTTGTCCTTCCTGTGGCCAACAAATGTTCTTGGGATGAATTCAATTCACTTCTCTCACTCACATAAAATATTTATGGACTTTGTTCTCGCAGGGAAACACATTTGTTCCCTAACTTTGAAGCAAACAAGAACTGTTGCAAACACACTTCAAGATTAATTACTCACAGGAGTGCCACAGAGAAAAAAAAAAATATGCCAGCAGTATTGGGATAGCTTTTAACTATTAAAATTCCATTTTTCTCCATTTAATATCTTCATATTAAAAGCTTCTTAAAAATGTATTTTTTTGCAGTTAGGCAAAATGAATTCACTTGCATATTTTTGTTTATTTTCTCCCAAAAGTACTTTAGGCAGATCTCAGGCATCCATGATGATTATTACAGGAACTAATGTCTATTGAGCTATGATTGGTTACTTCTTGCTGCTGGTGGTGGTTTTGTTTCTCCAGTTTAGTTCATTTGCTCAGTAGACTTCCCAGATGATGCTAGGACAACATTCTACCAGGGTATCTTCACTGTCCTTTCTTGCTGCGTTAACTGGGCTACCACTTAGGAGAAATCCGGCTATTTGTGGAGTTCTGCTGGAGCTGCCCTAGCCCTGCCCCAAACTGCTCCTCCTGCATGCTAAAATCATCTGTAAGCAGAAGAGGGCAATGCCCTCTGGAGCAGATGGCTTTTTTTAAATGTAAATTTTAGTATTGATTAGGTGTGGTTAGGCCAACAGATCAGGAGACAACTGCCATTCATAAATCGTCTGGTACAGTTCCCAACAGGAGGGGGCACACCATGCCACACGGGTAATCAGGGGGCAAAACATAGGCAGGTATAGTTTTTACAGGAAGGAATGGGGGAAGCAAGGTAATCAGGTTTAGGATTTTCTCATTTGAATCATTTCAGCAGGTTTTGGGCATAGAGGTTGTTCCTATTTATCTGGTACCTGCTGTAGGGAATCAGGGCAGGTAGATGGTGGCCTAGAATGTGAGAAGCTGGTAGAGGAGGTGAGGGGTGTGGGCTTTGGATCTCGTGGTTTGCATATGAAGGTGTTCTAGAAGATGGGTCACTGGCTGTCTCCAGGAATTGTCAAGCCCTGAGATGGACAGTGATGTTAAGACATAAAAATATAGAAAATACAATATATGAAGAACATAGCTGGATCCCCCAAGTCTGGAATGACTTATCTATAAGAATTTTCTGGATATTTCAGATAGTTGTATCAACTATGCTCTAACAAATATGCTAACTTTCAGCTTCAGTGAAAGATAGAGGAGAGTAGAGGGATTTGGGAAAGGAGAAAGGGACTTCCTTTCCTTTATTCAGTAGGTCAATACTTAAAGTTCTCACTGATCACACAAAGCTTCCAATTTGACTTTAGAAGCAAATTCCCTGATGTGGTTCCTTCTGACAAACTACTTAGCCATGATAAAGTTTTATGCTAGAACTAAATCCCACACTCCTCCCTTAGCACTGTACAGAAATGTCATAAGCCTCAAGGACCTTGGTCGTGGCCTTGGACCTGTAAAAGATGCATACTAGGAGGGGTTATGATGTAGTTGGGAAAGCAGGGGCTTTAGAGAGACTTGATTTAAATCTGGGCCACACTTCTTTTTCTCCTGGTGGTAGCCTTGCCTCTTGGCATTGCAGGCATCTGTCTAGCCTATGTGAGGAGGGGGGTGGTTGTACATCTCCTTTTCTCCATGACAATGCTGTGACAGTGCCTGATGTTCTCGCCTCTATCTACTTCAGCATTTGTCCTGGACAAGTGTTCCCATTTAGAAGATAACTAAGTGATGCCCTATTTACGAAAGCCTCTGACCTAAGGAGGATTTCCTGAATGGAGCCTTTCTTTAAAGACTCCATGTTCTCTGTAAGCCAAGGTAAATTCTGGCACCAGTCAGACCATTTGAGTTCTGGCATCCCATCATACCAACTGTGTGGGCATGCGACTTGACATTCTGGAAGCCATTCATCTATAGAATGGGGACACCCAGGCCTGCCCTGAGGATTCTGCTAGTTAATCTGCCTCTAGACCTTGAAGCTCAGTATGAACTAGGTAAATACTAGCTTTCTTCCCCTCTCACACATCAGCCTGACATCAGAGCAGGCAAATTTCATACCATTACTTAGAGAAACTTTCTACCAAAACAAAGCAGAAATCTATGCAAGAAGTTCCAAAAACTAAGATGGGCCTAAGAACACAGTGATTTAAGACATCTTTTAAAAGTACATCAACAGCTTCCAGGAACCCAAACCATCTGAGAGTTTCAAATGGTACATTTTTTCCCCAATTTAAAAAGAAACCTAATCCCTTGGTTTTGTTCTCAGCTTTAATGTGACTTATTTGGCCTGGGACTGCTGCCCAAGGCCCAATTAGAAAAGTGGATGGCTGGGGCCCAGGGCAAAATGCTGCCTATAAAGTGTTATTTACTGACTGCTTTCCCACCCAAGGAGAGACGGACGGGTGCAGGGGTGGAGGGAGATGGGCAAGAAGGGAATTCTGAAGTGTTTGAGAACTTTCAAAGGGATATTAGATAATCTTGTCCATTTAAAAAAATATATTCTTTGAAAGGCTGAAGAGAAATCAGAATTTTTTTAAAGCCACAGATTCCTCCCCCGACTCTCCCCCAAAAAACCCCTAGATCTTAGCAGCATAGTTTAAAAATCTGATGAAAGAGGGACTTCTCCCACTAGAGGGTGAGAAGCATATAAAGATAGGTTCCTAGAACTACCTGATAGCTACCACACAGACTTCATGAGTGAAGAGGAAGTACAGGATCAGTAGCTGCTTATAGGAGGGCCACTATTAGAAGAAGGGAGCACACAATGTCTGGCCAAGCACCCCCACAGTGAAGGTCAGATCCCAATCAGAGAGGCAAGATTTGGTTGAAGATACTCTCCAGTGAAAGCCACAGCTGCAAAGTGGAGTGAAAAGAATGGTGATAGACTTGGAAAAGGTTCAAGTTCAAAGACTCCTGTGGACAGGAAAAAGAGATGTCCAGGTGGGATGCTAATGAACAGCAGGAAGAAAGGGAGGAGAGCATGGCAGACTGCAGAGGACTTCCATAGAGTGAAGAGAAGAGACAGATGAATAAAAGATGGGTTAAACCCATTCTCCTCAGCAAGCCTACTTCATTCGTGATGGAAGGGGAGAGTTGAGAGGTGTGTGGCCGGTTGGCCCCAGGAGCACTAGACTGTGGGGAGAGACACCATCATAAGATGTAATGTTCTGTGTCATTTAAATAATATATTCTCTATGTCTCAATCTGCACCATATATTTCACTGACACTCCAATCGATGCAACATGTCTTATTCTCTAATGAAGTCAAAGGTTGTTGTACTATTTTTGTAGTAAATAATTTACTTATAATCTCATAAAAGAAAATAAGGAATTGTCATGACTTACTCATTTCAATTCAATTTGACTTGGTATGATCCTTAAGACAAAAATATCTCTCCTGGGAGTCAGTGATATGATTGTGTCTAGAAGTGCATCATTTACACCTCAACACCCTTCATCTTTCAGTAGTTTTGAGTACAAAAGTTGTGAGTTACAACAGATCACAAATAGGGTGTTTTGCTATCCAGCAATCTGTTCTCCTGATAGACTGAATATACTAACTGCAGCTTTGATTCTAAATTGGAGTTGCTCACACACTTAGAGTTCTTTGAAGGAGATGAGGAAAAAATGTCTAATCTTATAACTGGAGATTTGGAAATTTAATGTAACCAACCCAAACCAAGGAGTGCAGGGGAGCAGACACACACATGTCATGGACCTGCAAACACATGTTTGTGTTTTTTGGCCCATTCAGTTCCTAGGGTGAAGGAAGGATTGTGATTTAGCCACCAGGGGGCAGCAGAGCCAACACTTTGCCCTCTGTAGTCTTAAAAATTAAGAGCCAGGTTCCTGTTGCTGAATTGTAAAACAAAGAAAAATACCCTAAGCAGATTTCTGAGTCAGTAAGCACTAAGCCAAAATAAGATGGCTATGAATAGCCACCAAGGACACCCCTCAGTGTGTCTGCCAGCCAGCACTGTGCTTTTGTACCTTGGAAAAAAGACCAACAAGGCTTAAGGGTTCATGACAAGTTTCAGGCATCCCTGACATGGAAACTACTTTTAGGAGACCCTGGACAGAATCATGAAGGGTTTGTTCCCTGCAGAGGGCAATGGTAAGGTGACAAGGGCCCAGGCAGCAAGACAGATGCGCCTGGAGTACAGCTGCCTTTCTTGGCACCTGCCTGCCCAACTCTCCACGCCATGAAGGAGAGGGAAGGGTCAATCACCCTGGGCTCCAGAGACAAGGCTCTGCCCTCAGGCCCAAGAGCAGCCCAGTGATGACCCCTTGTGTGCCCAGTGGTAGACAGAGGGGCCAGTGGCCAGCTGGATGCTTAATCAGGCCCAAGACCCAGACAGCAGCACACGTGGAGAGGAAGGGCTGAAACCAATTTGATAATGGGAAGAAATGGCATCTCATCTTCAAGGTTGCAGCCCTAGAAAGGCTGCTTGTGTGAAGGGTGACACGGACAGGCTATTTAAAGCAATGTGTGCATCTGCCAGCATGGGTGGAAATAAGGGAGCTCTAGAACAGAATTTCCCAACATCTTTCCACTGGTCTCACTTCAGGACCCATTGTGTCACTGTAGGACACTAACTATTTTAGCTGCCTCACCAATGCCAGCCCTCCTGGGACCAATCTCACAGGCCTAATGCACTGGAGACAGATGCTTTGACACCCCAAATATCTACATTCCCAGACTGCCACCACCATCACCTTCCTTGGAAGGTGGCTCACACCCCATTTTAATCTGATCAAGCCATGCAGTGGTAGAGCTAGTTGGCCCACTGTCTGATTTATCTGGCCAGTCTTTGCCATCAAGGAATTCTGGAAGCCCATGGCCATAATTTCACTATTTTGG